ATTATCTAGCAGTCAGGTATCTAACACCAATCAACAAAAGGACACTTAACATCTCTTACAAGTAATAGAAAAGAACAGGTAGGAAAGTATTATAGAGAGGGCACATAATAAAGTGGAAGGATCCACTTATTTGTTGGCATAAATAACGTTTGCTTATCGGTACCATCCCTCTCGAGTAATAATAGCACCCCTAGCGAGAAATAAGTTAATTTCAGGTTACAGGTGTCATTTATAGTTGGAGGGCAAGCTATTATATCTCCAGGTAAAGTGGTGGTATTAATATATTGATCCTTATTAAATTATGTCAGGAAGAGAACCCTCCAAGTAATTTTATGAATGAAAGGTGCGTTTAATGATAAGTTCCCTAACCTCAATGCAGCTTAGAGTCTGCTGAAAGATATACCGTTTTTACAAACTTTTTTGCACGATAGAACGGTTTTAGTTAGTTACCGCGTTTGTTTCGAGACCGGTATGTTGTATTTACTGGTTTCTATGATAAACCGAACGGTAAGTAATTTAATTAATGTTTTAGAACGGTAAGTAATTTCAGACATTAATCAGATAAAATCCACAAAACATTTATTGATAGCATAATAGTATATTATATTACAAGGTAGAGAAGAGATTTTTTATAGCCGAGCTGTTTATTTTCCGAGATGAGTAACATCGAGGAAAATAGTAAATGCGAGGCTATAAAAATCTTCCCTACCGTGTTTTATATAACATTTTTTTACTACTAGCAGTTTTATTATCTAGAAATACAATGGTGAAAAATATAACCCTACTTAATGGACATGTTGCCTTAGACGTAACATGTCGTAATTCACAACTACTATTTTGGTAATTCACTATTATCTACAGTAATTAATTACTTACATGAGTTATTAATTTAAGTTGGAAGTATTATTTTCTTATTATCATAAATGAAGTTATGCCATTTTTGTAATTCTGCAATTATTAAAAGAATTTTCTAACTTTATAGTAAAATATTTGTTAAAATAACAAAGAAACTGCAAAGAAAAGGAAAAAAGTGTAAAAATTTGCCTCACTACCGATGGCATTTTAACAAGAAATAAACCCATTTGTTGTTTTGACAGTTATGACATATAAGTACTCTTTTTCATATTAATGTGTAATCAAGTAGGTTGTAGAAGTCTAAATGCATCCTTAATTTAAAGGCAGATTTACACAAAAAGTGTCATTAATGTCATTCAGAGCAAATTTAATGACATCAATAATGACAAAAATCCTTTATGTTTGCCACCCTATATTAATTACGTAGTTAATTTTAATTATTTCTTGCTACCTGGGGTACACATATTTATGTGAGAAATATTTTTTAGGTAAGTTTGAGGTTAGGATTGTTTGAATTTTTGCATGGTTGCCACCTTAAAATGATCTCTTTCAACGACTACTTTGATGCACATTAATATGAAAACATATACCAGTTGAATAAAAAGTATGGAACCAAGCGTTTTTTTCGTAAACTAAGTACTTTACGAAAAAAATAATTAGTAAAGTACAATTAAA